AGTCTCTTGGAAGAGAGACGAAACGTTTCATTAAAGAAGAACCCGTCCAGAGGACCTATACAATTTTTTTTTCCTTCAGCTGCTGTAAAGTTGGTGCACCTCGCTTTAAAAACAGTCAGCTGATCCATCGCGGTTTTGTTGCGCTCGTGACGTGAACACACGGGGGGAAATGCTGCGAGGTGCTTTTATAAATATAATAAATATAAAATACGACATAATCATTGGTGGAAAATAGTCCAGGAAATGCGGGAGGTGTTCACCTGCAGCTGAGTGAAGCTGACCCCCCACCCACAGAGAAAGGAAGAAAAAAAAAGGCAGTAATTAGTAAGCATGCTGTGGCATTTTCTTTTAAAGAAAGAAAAAGTAGCTTGTAAAGCTGTCGCGTCGGTGCTACGTGATTAAAAGCAGAGCTGCACGTCTAATCTCACACACGTCTTCCTATCTTTGTGAGGACCACACACAGCGCTCATGCGCCGTCTTTTTCCCCAAGTTTGGTGAGAGGTGGATATGGAGGGACGCAAAAAATAGCTCTCGACTTCATCTGGCCTTATTTAAATAAAAATGACTACATGCCGTGAAATTCTTAGAGGGGCGGGCCGTCTCGTTGGCGGGGGGCTGGTGGTATACTGTATAATGGTAGGGGAAACACTGCGTAATTTTACTTTTACTTAGTTATTTTTTTTCAAGTACTTTATAGACCTCTGAAACTCTAGCATAAGAGATGGCAGGTGATATAATATAAGCCTTTAATTTTAATGTCATTAATAATTTTCATTTATATCCTGGGAAATCCAGTTTGAGGTCATGTATTTAGTACCTGTGTGTGTCTTTGTGTGTGTGTATTTATGTGTACAGCAGTAAGGAGATGCTGACAGGACAGAGGCTTTGCCATTCAAAGTCCCACCAGGATTCAGTTCTCTCTGCCCTCAACCAGCAGAGAAAGGATGGCCAACTGTGTGACGTCACCCTGGTGGCTGGGGAGCAGAAGTTTCATGCCCACAAAGCCGTCCTGGCAGCATGCAGCGATTACTTCAGGGTAAGGACACTCTTCATACTCTGGTCACTTTTGAATTGGTGTTCTGTCAGACAGATGTTGGCTGTTTTCTCAACCAAACATCTGTTGCTGCATGAACGTATGTGTGCAGATCATATATTTTAATATGTTGTTGGTGCCGAGATTGAATATATCAGTCTCCCTAGTCCAGGGGTGGGTAATCCTGGTCCCTGAAGGCCACTGTCATGCATGTTTTACTTGTTCCTCTGATTCAACACACCCGATTCAGCAATTGCATTCCCATCTCAATTTTTTCTTAAGCAATCCGGTCCCTATATAACCAAGGTGCTGTGTTCGCATTCTTGGCACAAAGTTGAGCTTCTTCTCAGTACGTGATGGACTCCACCAGGGCTGTCCCTTGTCTCCGAACCTATTTGTAGTGTTTATAGACAGGATCTCAAGGCGCAGTCGTGGAGAGGAGGGTGTCTGGTTTTGGAACCACAGGGTCTTGTCTCTGCTGTATGCAGATGATGTGGTTCTATTGGCATATTCAGACCAAGACCTTCTGCGTGCACTGGGGTGGTTCGCTTCCAGTGTGAAGTGGCTGGGATGAAAGTCAGTTCCTCTAAGTCTGAGGCCATGGTTCTCGACTGGAAAAGGGTGGAATGCCTCCTCTGGGTCGGGGTAGAGTCTCTGCCTCAAGTGGAGGAGAAGTATCTGGGTGTTTTGTTCACGATTGATGGTAGGATGGAACGGGAGATAGATCGACGGATTGGAGCCTCATCCTTAGTAATGAGGGCATTACTTAGGTCTGTCGTGGTGAAGAAAAAACTGAGTTGAAAGGCAAAGCTCTCGATTTACTGGTCTGTCTTTGTTCCAGCCCTCACCTACGGTCATGAGATGTGGATCTTGACCAAAAGAATGCGATCCCAGATACAAGCGGACGAAATGAGCTTCCTTCGTAGGGTGGCCGGGCTCAGCCTTAGAGATAGGGTGAGGAGCTCCATCATCCGGGGGGAGCTCGGAGTTCAGCCGCTGCTCCTCCACATTGAAAGGAGTCAGGTATGATTAGGATGTCTCCTGGACACCCTGGTGAGGTGTTCTGGGCACATCCCTCTGATAGGAGTCCCTCCAGGACTCACTGGAGGGATTATGAATCTTTTCTGGGCTGGGAATGCCTTGGGGTCCCCCAGGACAAGATGGAAAGTGTCGCCGGGGAGAGGGGTGTCTGGGTTTCTCTCCTGGACCTGTTGCGTCCACGACCAGACTATGGATAAGCAGAAGAAAATGGAAATGGAGAAGTTCTGCCTAAACTTGGTAATCACCAATTCATTCAAATCAGGTGTGTTGGAGCAGAGAAACCTCTAAAACATGCAGGATAGCTGGCCTCTAGAACCAGGATTGCACACCACTGCCCTAGTCAGTCAAAGATTTACTGACCTCCCAGTGGACAGATATGTCCATTGATACCAGGAGAATGGCATATCCATACGGCTCATTGGTTAGCACTGATGTCTCACAGCAAGAAGGTCTTGGATTCGATCCCCGATTCAGACCTGGGGTCTTTCTGTGTGGAGTTGCATGTTCTCCTTGAGCTTGCATSGGTTTTCTCCGGGTACTCCGGTTTCCCCCACAACACAAAAATACGTACAACAGGTTGCCTTCAGGTCCAGGCCTCCCTTGCAAAAGAGATCTGTGATCTCAGTGGGATTTGACTGGTTATAAAATGGTAAAAAAAATAGTGCTCAGGACATTCTAGCACAGACTTTGATTGAGAAAACAGCAACAAACTAAACAAAGAATGCAAAAGTGTAGTAATTTATCAATAGCGAATGCTGTATCTTTTCACACCAGTGGGATGTTTTTGCAAAAATAATTATTTTATAAGTTTGAAAAACAGCATTAAACTATCCCTTGTTTGGCTAGTCATTAGCTTGATAAGTTACTATTTAGGCTTGGGCGGTATGACGGTATTCTGGTATTGAAATACAGTGACGGTAAATAAAAATTATGATGTATGAGTTGGGTAATGAGCCACATTTCCACAAGGTTACTATGAATACTGGGTCATAAACATTCTAGGCTCTTTCAGAAGATGCGGCAAAACGTTACTGAGATGTGGTCTGATCACCTCAGCTTAGACAAACAGTCACACCTTTGGACCTTTGAGCGAGGTGATTCCTAAAAAGGTGGGCCAGTGTAGTTCTGACTGACAGCTTCAGGGACCACCCAGCTGGAGGTTTTCCTAGGTCAAACCACCATAGCTCCTTTTGGATTTAAACTTTGTGGGTTTTTTTTTTTTCAAGACAAGCAAGATCATTGCTACCGATGGGAAAATAACTACAAACTTAATTGGCACACAGACTGGCTAAAAGTATGAAGCAACACAGATACAATCGTGGTACGAGTTAGATTATTTTGAAACGGGGATGTATAAAACATCACTTCAAAAATGACCAAACTATCCTTTTAAGTCAAATTTGATTCTCAAGAAATACCAATTAAAGTGTTCAAAGGTCTTGGTCTTTTTTATTATAGACAAGAGGAGACACCCCCATCAGAATATTCTCTATTCTGATAGGGGGAGGGGCAGTGGTGTCTAATCCTGRTTCTCTAAKGCCTTTATCTTTCATGTTTTAGAGGTTTCTCTGCATTTACACAGCCGATATGTGTGAATGGGTGATTAACAGGCTTTTATCGCATTTGATGACATGCTGAAGAGCAGGGAAACAACTAAACATGCAGGATAGAGACCCTCAAGACCCAGAATTTGACACGACTCTTCTAAGAAGACAAAACATTTTTCCCCTTCTCTTCAAATCCAAACATTTCTACAACAGATGATATTTTGATGAAATCTGGAGTTAACCTGAATATTTCCTGCTATGCTTTGGGCCTCAGAGGAGATTCAGGTAGACACACACTGTCAGATATCCAGACAGAAGATTTTCTCTTGCTCATGGAGAAACATGCCCATGAGATTTAATTTGAGGACTTTGAGAAGATTAGAAGGTAGATACTAATCCCTCTTCTAAATGAGTCACAGATTAAATATGTCCAAGTTGCTCAGGGATTAGGCATCGTGTGTGTTACTGTGTGTGTGTGTGTGTGTGTGTGTGTGTGTGTGTGCAGGTTATTTTTAAATCTCCACAGAGAGTTGATGGGGGACTTCAGACTTTCCTTCCTTTGTTTGGCTTCTTCCCGTCTGTTTTCTTTTTGTTCTTCAGATCTCTTTATAAATGTTGTCCTTTTAAGTTCCATCTTGGCTAAGCTCTGCTGTTCCAGGTCTTGGATTATTAGATCATCYTGCAACAGTAAAGAAGAAAAACTCTCCGTTCCGGTGCTCCACTGTTCCTCTGTAGTAGCTTAATGACATTAGCTTCATTTTGTCATCTGACTCCAATGCTGGGCTTAATTCTGCTCATTTACTGAGGAGATGGCGGTGGCTCCTACAGGAGATGTCTTTTCTGTCTGACTGGCAGAAAGAAAAACTGCACATGTAACAGTGATTAGAACACACCATCTAACCCAGCGGATGTGAGTGGCTGTAACAAAATACCTGACCAGGCGTGAGTTGGTTGCCTGGGACGTGTCCTGAATATGTCACCTTCCAATGCCATCACTTTGTTAACATGTGTGACAGCTTTGGAAGATGTGACTGAGCCAGCTACATCCGCATTGTTCAACACCTTCAGTGTGAGTGTTTAAACGGAAATGTTTTATTTTGTATCAAACTGTCTGCAAGCCTTTTATATGTCACCAAATTCCACATTTATTCTCCATAAAATCCCTCTTTTTGGAAGACCACAGCTTTGTTATTGTACAAGTTATTTACAGTATATTTGTTTTTAATTAGTAATAAATTGACACACATCTGCTCCTCAAAGCTTTAATTTATCTCCAGCCTCTTGGGTAAAATGATTCAATAATTGTGAGGTTGAATTAGAGAATTAGACAAGGTCGCTTTTACATGTAGAATTTTTGTAATGAACCTCTGGGTGRTAAAAAAAAATAATCTGAAAGAAGTTTAGGAGGTAAGAGTCCAAGCTTTGTGTAGGCTAAGTCATTCACACCTGCAGAACAAGAATGTTGAAACTGAAAATATTTCAAGGTTACGTGTCTGATGTTTTATCTAAGTAGGGATTTATTGCTGTTCAGGATAAGGTCATTAAAGACAAACCAATGAATTTTATGAGAAGTAAACTTTATGAGAATGAACTGGTTCTACCTAAAATGGTAATATTTGAAATCAACTTTTGCAAATCAGTAACATTTTGCAAGATCTGTAATTTTGCTTTTCAGAAGTCTTTTGATCCAAAATTCTTATCTGGATTGAATTTTCTATAGAAAAATCTTTTATTTTATTATTTTGAAAATAAAAATACCCAATATGTATAATAATATTACTTTATAATAATTTAGAAGTTGTTGGAGTTCAGCGGTGTGGTGAACAGCAGAGTATGACATCACCTGCCATCATGTAAAGAAAAAAAACAAGACAATAAATGTTTRTACTGTATTTATCCCATGTTTTGTACTATAAACTAATTTTCCATTTAAGTTAAACAAGTTTAAAATTGCTAAATTTTCTCGTTTCCAGTTCCAATACTGGGCKGAGATGAACCCTGAGGCTGAAGCAAGCGCTGCCTCACCTTGAATTGCGCAATCCCGTACAAAGTGCTGCATCATATCACTCAGTGAGAGAACCTGCTGCTGTGGATCTGTATGTCACCAGTAAAATGTTTCAAATATTTTTAATCTATGCCTGACTTTTCTCAGTTTGGCTCAATTTTAAAGTACTTTATATATCACAGTGTTTCCCCTAGGAAATTGGT